CAGAAACAATCAACAGAACAATATGCTCTCTCTGAGCCACAGTAACCATTTTGAGCCTAGTGCATATAGTTTCAAAATTTTCCTCTTCTAACAGCATCATATGAGTAGACCGTAAAGAAAAAAACCCTTTCAACCTTGCATGTAATTGAGTCTTATGGGGCATCCGAGGCTTTGATTTACCTTCCAGAAGGGTGTCTTGGCCCATAGATCATGTGCAGTGCAGAAATGAGTGTGAAACCAAAGGGTAACTTCACCAACCAGTGCAGATGGATTATTTCACTAACCCAGGCAGCTGAATTGGGTAGAGGATGAAGATATTTAGGTTCTAGGGATAATTAAACAGGGAGACCTGCCAGTTACACCAGGCAGCCTCTATACTCTGCAGTTCTGAGGAGTATTGATGGCTTCGTCATCCTTAACAACAACAACAAAAATATAAGAAACTCACTTTTACATTGTTTAAACTAGTCCTAGAATTTCATGATAACAGAATATGCCCTAATCTTAGCAACAAACATGGGTAATAGAAAATATAGACAAGTACTGGAATAGGTTTCTTCAATTAGTGTGAATATTTCTACACTTCAGTGCGGGAATTCTCTGATCATGAGTAGTATCAACACTAAGTGGAACCCTTGGTTTCCAGAAATAAACTCTTTCAGTAAAATCACTAATGAAGTTTTCCAGCTACTAATCTATGCAGAAAAAAAAAAAAAAGTAACAGAAAAGTGCTAGAGAAAAAGACATGAGTCTCATAATGCCATTATAGCCACGGGAAGTCACTTCACCTCTATAAATCTATGTCCTCAACTCCAAGATTCATGGGTTGGATTGTCTGGTTTAAAGCTCCTTGAAGCTCTAAAAGTCTAGACTGCTTACAAAGGCTGGTACTGGCTCCTTCAGAAATTAGGTCTATGTATGCTATTAAAATGATGAGGTCTTGCCTTTTAAAAATGCAGTTAAGGGAAAAGCATTTTTTTCCCCTCACAGCCCTGGGACTGTAAATCATTTGTTGTGCTAAGACATGCAAACAATTGGCACTGGAATCCATAGTTTGTTCTTTGCTTTTCATATGCTACATTAAACTCTAGATGGGTATGTTAAAAAAAAAAAGCCACCTGATTATATTTTCTTGCTTATTAAAATTAAACTAAGCTGATATTAATATTCAATTAACACCACCAGGTGAAGTACTCTAGTGTTATCTTTTTTCTAAGGAAATAATAATGAACGATTCTCTTCTGATGGCTTTTTACTTCTGAAAAGGTCAGCAAAGTCCCCAATTCAGACATTTGCTCCCATTTCAGCTGATTCACTGCAAATCCTCAAAGAGCAATCTACTTATATAATTTTTTTTCCCACAATGGTCACAGTTCTCTAGACATAAAATAAAAATCATGCAAATCTGAGTTTGCTTACTCTAAAGACAGGCTTATTTGAATAGGGAGACTGATGTTCATTCACTTTAGTGTGAGTGACTTGATGCAATGTTTCTCAGTGTGGCTTGAGCTGAGCTGCAATAGGCAGAGTCTATGATATAAATCGCTATACTTATAGGTCTGATTTGTGACAACTGTGGCATCTAATTGTGTTTTCAGTTCCAGATTTAGCAGCTTCTCTAGCTTTATTCTTCTGGCCAGCCATTGAATATGATTTTATGTACTCTTAGCAATTGGTACAGTTAATTTTAATTTTAATTTTTTTAAAAAAAATCTAGATTCAAAATGTAACCCAACAAATTTCAGATGAAGTCTAAAGTAGGTTTTCTGTGATTCATACACATCAGTGAAAAATATAGAATTGCACGAATGCCTTTACATACACACACAAATAGACTATGTACATATATATAAATATTCTTCCATGTTGGTTTTTCTTTGATAAGTTTGGTAACAGTGGAAAGCCATGCATCCTAAAAGATTTCTTATTCATATTACCATCATAACAATATAAATCATTCACTACTTATCACTAGGCTAACTTAGAAAGGATTCAAACATTTATTTTAAAACCCTTTTTAAATTTTATTAGTTTTTCTAGGATTCTGCAAAATTAAAAAGAATATTTATTATTTTTAGCTTGCATATTTTTATGCTGATTTAGCAAATTGTGTCCATTTTCTATAGTTCATTTGTCTAGAGCCTTGGATGGTATGGAAATATTTTTATTTTTGCAGATGTTAATTAACTTCTGGGATACATTCACAATAGCGATTAGTGAGTGTGGTTAAATTTTCTACTGTTTTGATGCTGGATGAAATCTTTTTCAGTTAACTAGAATATGTGGCATTGATCAGAAATTTGCATGTCAAAGTACTCTCTTGAATTTTTCCTTTACCATTCTCTTCCCTATCAGTAAATCTTAGATTTCTCCTCAACGTGGGAGAAATTAGATTTTGTATTTCCACTATAATTAGGAAGCTGAGGGTAAAGAACAGGAAATGGACGCAGAGAACATTAAGACTGCTGAGAAAAATAAGTCATGCAATTCTTTCAAAATGCTGATTACACTGGAAATCATCTAATTAGGTCTCCAAATTGGGAATAATGTGTTTTTTGTTTCCAAGTTTTAGGACAAAAAAAAAAAAAAGAAAAAAAAAGACGAGACAACAACAATAAAAAGTGTAGAAGCTAGGGTTTAGTTAAGGAAAAAAGGCGTGGGAAGGGAGGAAAGGGAAGGGGAAGGAAGAGGAGGGAAAGCAAGGGGAGGGGGGGGAGCAGAGGGGAAGGAAGACTTCTCTGGCCCCTCCAAAGAAAACACTGTCTATTCTACACACAATTACTGCCACAGAGTGAGGGACGGAGGACACTGCAAAAGTCTTCTTCATCAGAGAAAGTGTCAGTAAAGTCTGAGGCATGAGAACAAGAAAGTTTTCAAAAGTTTTTCATTAGTGTGATCTAAAACAAATAGAATTGACCCTCCATTTACCAGAAAACTAAATAAATTATGTCATTCCCTGAAGCATTCTGATAATCAAGGTTTCTTTTTTATTTAAAAATGAAACTTTGTATCACAATGTGTATGTGGAAGGGACAGTTTGTATTACAATTTTAACATTTGTATATGTTTATTTTTCTTGGAGTGGGCATTTCTATCTATCATTAGCTGGAAACAACACACATAAACTAAAAACCAGATAAGGAAACAACGAAAGAATAACAATAATAATTTCAACAATGGAACTGGCACTTGGCCATTTTTATGGATATGAGTACTGGGATATCCAAATGGCAGAAGAGAGCAGGAAAGAGGCTTTTGCCCAAAATAGCCCATTTTAATGATGACTAATGATGGGACTTAGCACTGGTAAAGACCTGCAAACTGCTCCTGAGGTGAAATGCATCATTACTTAGGGCTTCCAAACCATTCTGTAAATTAAGTGTAGCTTTTGTCTTTTGAATCATTTGCAAGGATGGTTTTGGTCTCTCGGCAAATCAACCCTCTAATATTTAATGAGCAGTAAATATATGAAGAACAGAGTCATTTCAAGACTGGGACAAAACAAAAAAAACCCACCGTATTTCTCTGCTTTCATTCCCTTCCATTATTCCTGCTTCCTCATCTTTCCTCCACCTAAATAGAAGCATTAAAAAACAAAAACATACCTGTGTTCTCAGTCTATGGCCAAGACCATCCCTGTGATACTTTTTGCATAATTCTGATATAATATATTGTATTTGGCACCGAAATTAATTGGTTACTAGTCTACATAAATGCTATTCTATACAAATATTAGCAAGGGGAAACAATATATCAGAGCAATCAACAACTTACAGATCATCTACTAAGGAGATGTCAGAATGCATAGGCAATAGACAAATGGGGTGGTCATGGGCATCGCATGGGGATAGCCTATGTGAAAGGGCTCTAAATGACACAGCACTTTGGACATTAAGGTCATTATTATTGTTGTTATGGTATAACAACTGATACACTGTGGGGAAAATAAACCCCAAGAAGGCAAAAGTTCTGTCAGATTTAATATAAGGAATCATTTCCTCTCCATGTCTAACAGTTGGCACTTGGCAGTGATAATGTAATGTATGGAGAGGCCTATAAAATAGAAATTTGAATATACAAATATATATTATGAAGTACGGTAGGATACAAAATGATGTAAAAATATGCTTTGTTTTCCCTGTTTCATGAGTTTAAAAAGCATATAATTTTGTGTTGTTTGATTTTGAAGCAAAGTTAGTAAACCCTTTTAGTTATGTTGAAGGAATGTTTTCACAGTATATGTTTTTACAGTGTTGAAATATTACATTTTAAATGGGCTTCTGAAATATTTAGGACTCAACTAAAAATTAGTATAGATCATTCTAGTAACATGTTTAGGGTAGTAAGAATGGAGTGGTGAGAAAAGAAATTCATCAAGATTTGCTACTTGGCCCATTTTGAATTAAGTGTTTGAGATAATCAAGTAAGCCTATGGGTAAATGTTCATGATATCTTCATTGTTAATTAAGAAATGACCTGAGGCTTTAGCTGTAGGAAGTACTGTAGGATGATGGTATGTCAAGAAGGGATTCCTTCCCTGCCCTCAGGCTAACTAGTAACTCTGGTAAGATAATTCTGTCATGATAACTTTTCTTGGGTCAGTGTTTGACAATCAAACATTCTTCAAGGTGGTATGACTGCTGAATTTCAAGAGACCACAGAATCAATAACCTTGCTTCTGGAGGTCAAATCCAGAAGTTACTGTTCAAGAAGTTACTCACTGTTCAATAATTCTGGGAAGTTACTCACTGTTCAAGAATTCTGGGAAGTTACTCACTGTTCAAGAATTCTGGGCAGTTATCTTGTGGAATAATCTCCTCATTTCTTATGTCACTGCTGTCATGTTACTGGCCTTCACTGCAATTCCAGTTAAATTATAAAGTGCAATATGTAATGTTGAACCTTCAGAAAGAACATAATGATCACAACCACCCTCCACGGAATCCCAAGTTCAAATTACTGGCAGAGTCATCATCCATATCTGAGAACATACACAAACTTGATCATCACCATCATCATCATAGCATTATTAGCATCACAGTTGCAATATTATAATCACATCAAGTGGTGTGGCAAGATCAGGAAAACGAATATCAAGACAATGTCCAGTTTGGGTGTGTAAATATTATCCTGTGTTTCTTGGCCCATTTAGCAAATACTTTCTTTTCAGTGATAAACCTATGTCCTCCATATGGGGCATGTTCATGAAGAAAATATTCATCACACTCATCTCTTCCTTGTTCATAGTAATGATAGGGGACTCTTCTATACCCTTCTGTCCTAGAAAAGAAAAAAAAAAAGAGAGAAAGATTGAGATGAAGAATGAAGCATTCACTTACCAGAATCCATTATGTGCCCAGTAAATGCATTTACTTGCAAACCTATGCATGATTCTTGTCCATGAACTCAGTTAAAACTATTATGTATAAAAGCTTTTAGGAAGATGTACCAGGTCCTTAGTGCTTTAATAAATCAAAGAAAATTTATATGTCACACCAATTACAGTCAAACATATAGCTATCCTTTGAAGGAGGAAATAGTGTTATAATGAAAGCAAACTTTGGATAGCCTGATGCTCTTGCAGAGCTTGAAGAAGCTTCGTGATTTTTCAGAGTAAGATTTTTGGTTCATCTGTGCTCCAATATGCTTATTGTTAGGGTAAAAATATTTGATCATGAAGATTGTAGCTTAATTACCATTTTTACAATATGATTAAAAACTCTCTGAAATACATTGTGCCAACTATTGGTAGGGAAATACATTTCATAACCTTGATGAAGCATGGAAGGTTTGTTTTATTATCTAATTAGAAACTATCCCATCAGTAGGGATATATGTGGATAAAGATACGTATTTTAAATAAGGATCTGGCAGATTACTCACTTATTTCCAGAAATTCTTGTTAAGCCATCAGCTCCTCTGAGGCTCTAGGACATTTTGTCCTTCATGATCAAATGTAATCATTGAGTAGATAGCCATCTATCAAGCCATTAGAGCTGCAGAAATGACAAATTTCCTTTGCAAATTAAATAACCACTAAACTTGTTCTGTATTTCTAAGCCACAAGTCCCTGATATGCCACTGATTAAGGGAAAAGTGTTTCTTCTGACATTTGACATTAGACTGCGGTAAATATTTTTCTTCTTATCACCCCTAAAAGTCATAACTTGAGGCACTGACAATAAAATGTCATGTCAGCAAAGAACACCAGGAAATAATTGTTGCTTTATCTGTTTCTCAGATTTATGGTATTAAAATGAATTGTGATATTTTGACAAGATATCAGAATTGGAGATGCATAAAAATAATTTCCTGTGATCTTACTTGCAGTAGGTGTCATTTATCATCCCGTAGACGTGAATGCCATAACAGGCATCCATGGCTAGAATGAAGGTAAACCACCCAGTGCTGAGATAAGAGCCAGACTGGACTCTGTGGGAGGAACAAAAAACAACAAACAAAACAAAATAAAACAACACAAAACATACACAGAGCAACGATAAAGTGTGGTAAGAAACAAGCAACTTTTTATCAAAAACATAGTACTTTTTATCAGGAAAAAGCATTAAGAAATTTGACAATCTGTCTAAGGTTCACACTTATTTTGAATTATCTCTGAATAATTTATAGGCATGCTCTCATTTTTACTACCTTAAGCCTAGAAGCTATGTTGTATGGTAGAGAAGCCATATGGCAAATATCTGAAGTCAAATAATCTTGCTCCCTTCAGGTGAAAAATAATTTATTTGATTTTCCGAATGACACAAATTAGTGCTCTATATCACATGACAGGTTTTCTAAAAGTTGCTTGGAGCTCTGATGGGAAATGAATGATAATAACGTTATCTGCTTTCTTGGACATGTCACTATCTCCAAGGCTTGTTGGGTTTCTAAGTGTCAATTCAATGCAGTGTAGGGGAATACTTTGCTCTATGAAAGCATCTGAAAAGTTTTCTTTCACTGTTTTCCGGGCATCATAAGGCTTTTCCTTTGTAAGCCCTATCTTACCAATCTCTTAAACACATCTTTATTGAAAACCTACTATGTACCCATCACTGTTGTAGATGCTGGGGATATAGCAGTTACCAAAACAACCAAAGATTTTGTCTTCACGGAGTCCAGAGGACTGGGTTTGGAGATGGCTATACTATAAAGGTTGGCCACAGAAGATATTCTAGATCATGCGAACAAAGATCTGAAGAAAAAGAGGTTGGGAGGAATAGGAGGAAGCCACATGGATCACATTGGGAAAGACAATCTCATGTGTGTAGTCAACACACACACATAACAATGGGCCTTCGGCCTGGAACTTCTTTATTAAATGATAAAGAATTCTCATAGCCTGTGCTGGACTTGTCACCTTGTGTGGGAATATCTTTCCCTGTTTCAGACTTAATGTGTCCTTTGTTCTGTTTAAGCGTGTGTGGCCTATGGTACCTGGCCAACCTCGCTGTTGTATCTTTCCCCTTCAGTGGGGGGCCGAGTCCTTCATTCTGTGGCACAGAGAATTGCATGCAGGCCAATGGCCCTGCATTGGCTGCTGGAAAGGACCGATTGGCCATGGGGGACCAACGTCTACTATTAAAACTGATCTTGCTCTGTTTTTCTCTATGAGAGTAAAATGTTGCTCCATCTAATGTTTGACTGTGTTGTGTTTTCCTTGGCATCTCTGATACTAAGATGCAGTGGGTAGAAAGGTTTGGACTTCTACTCCTGGTGATAGGTGACGGATGCCACTTGCTCGACAGACAATAAGAGAGAAAAGTGTTCTGGAAAAAAGAAATGCTAAGAGCAAAATCACAAATATTTGAGTGCATTTGGTGTGCTTAAGAAAGAGATGAGAAGATTAGTAACTCAAGGAAGAGAATGGTAGATGTAGTTAGATGTAGCACTGATTGGAGGGTTCTGCCAAGTTCCAAATAGTTCAAGGGAATGTTTGATGAAAAAGCTGGATCTCCATACTCGTATTCAGCCAAGGTGATCTAATCCATCCAAAACAGATGATTGCTTATCTCTTTAAATCTCTCCCCATTGGAGCATTTGGGTAACCCTAGGTTGTTTGGCATTTATGTAGCACCACTTCTAAAAAAACACTAAATTTCATTCCTTCCGTCTAGAGTTCTTTGCATATGGGAGCAAAGCTAGCTCTTCTCCTACGAACTGACACTTCGCCACTGATAACCATTCTTTGGGTATAGCACTCCAGATAGTAGTTGCTCTGCAAGGAAGTCCAATGTTGTTGATGCAGTTCTCCAGTACCAAGCCACCAGTGTGCTATAATTAGGACCCTGAATCCTTCGATTTTTTTTTTTTTTAAAACTAGCACTGCTTAGTATCAAATTACAACATGCAAGCATTTCAGAAGCAACACAAACTCACAGTGGGTGTTGATAACTGGATTTTTTAACCTTTACTTTCATTGACTTTGGGCCATTTGCAAGAAAAGAGAAAACTCAGCCCATATATCTCCATTCCCTCAGCTTACTTGCCACTGAATTTGAAATGCCTCAATATTAAGTACTTTCCTGTGTATCTCCTGGTGTGTTTTCTGTACGGAAAATATTCCAGAAACAAGATCACAATGAGTTAACAATGCACTTTCTTCCATAGTAGGAATAGTAGCAGCAGCGTGGGTTAAGAACGGGTGCCTAATGGGTGGGAAGAAGTACCACAGAGAAGTGAAATACACGAAAGTGCAGCTTTGCTTATTATATAGCCGAACCTGCAGCCAATCCTGCATTCTGGAGACTGAGGAAGAACAGCAGTGATGGGAAGTGCCTAAAGCACCATCTGCTTAAGGTACCATTTCCTTATCTGAAAATTGGGAGTGATCAGAAGAAACAAGATTCTTGACAACAAGCTCCAAAATTGAATTTAGAAATTTGTCTGTGTAGTGAATATTTCCAGTTATTTTTTTTCTGCTGAATCGTATACCGTTTCTTCCTCTTCTTGCCTTCTCATACTACTTTTTCTGCCTTTCCGTTTTCTCTATCCTTCTTTGTTACTAGGCTGACCAAGCACTCGTAGAGATTACTAAAAATTACAGCACTTGTTTGTACATGATTAGAAATCCAGGTCTCACTTATTCACCCATTTGTTTATTTTTTCAGTAAACATTTATTGGGATCTTACTATGTGCTACTGACTATGCTAGTAGCTGGTAATACATATTTTCTTAAAGAGCACATGTTCTAGTGGGGGAGGCACACATGTTAAAACAATAAACCACTGTATAGTACAACAAAGCACAAGCCTGTGTGTTTCTGAGTCAGTACTGAGTGTAGTGAGGAATTGACAGTAAGTTTCACATTCCAGCTCTGCCACTACCTGAATGTGAGGCTTTGGACAACTTATTTAGGCTCTTTGTATCATCTTAGTTTCCTTGTCTCCAAAATGAAATGGTTGAGCTAAATTATATCTATGATTTCTTCCAATTTTGAAATTAAAAGATTCTGTGATCATCACCCTCAAAAGTCAATCAGTTTTAATCTTTAATCATTTGACATGTTCCAAACAGTTAGATGTGCAATTAACAAATACATTAATCAGTCATATCACATTTAAAGCCCATTTCTGTGGTGGACATGCCACTAAGTATCCGGGATGTATATTTTTGTATATAGTTTTTACCTTGCAGTGGGCGTGGCTATAATCACTAAACTTTTGGCAGGAGGAAGGTGCTGAAATGGCTATTCAACACCGAAGACACAATTGGACTATAGTATTGAGGGTAAAGCTTACTTTGAGTTAGAGAAAAAATAAATCGAAATTACATAAAATCGTTTTTCTTCTTATGTGCTTTTCTAGGAGTTGGTCTGTCCATGGAGTTGCTGTGAAAGACCAAGAAACAATATATCTCCAGGATAAAAAAGGGATCATTTGTGCAACATATGGACCACTACTCTGCAAAACACGCTCTCCCAGACAGTTATTTCTGAGAGTTCAACAGCAAGCTTTCAGAGCAGAACCCTCAAACGATAGAGTACAATTAGCACAATTATCAAAGTGGCTGCTCTGTATATCTATCTTCTCTTTACCATAGGAAAAGAAGGTCAGGAATCTCAGAGTTTGGCATCTGGTCAAAGATATTTCCATCTCACCACATAAAAAAAAAATTACCACATTTCTGATATTCGATTATGTTTAAGCACAATCTGATTTATTTTGTTTCTAGGTAGACGGATCATAATAATTAGCCCCAAAGCTCTTCAAATAAGCTGTGTTGAGCTTGATTCAGCCTGGGGAGGTGCATACTGCCCAAGTGCCCTGTCCTACAAACAGCATTTAATTAGATAGTTGCATTTTATTTCCCTAGTGCCCCTGATATATTTGGGATGCGAAATCATGTGAGGTCTCCTACCCACAATACATGCTGGGTCTAGCAAAGTGGTTTCTTCTAAAATTATTTGGAGCCCATGTCCACATAATAATACTTGCAGTAGAACAATGACAACTGCTAGATTAATCTAGGAATTTTTTGTGAATAAATGCCCTGGTGACCTGTGTCCCTAAGTAAACTCATTGTCCTGAATGCAGCTGGGTCTGGGAATTCTTGTAGATGCACCATTCTCAAACTCTCCTGCTGTGCAAGCATACTAGAAATGAGGTAGTATGAATTATATCCAGGTAGACTTTTTGAGTTTCAATAAAAACAACAACAAAAAGACTTAGGCTCATGTGCATAAAATTGCTTATGCTTTTGAGCTTAGAGGGACCCCGTGATAACTATTAGATGCCTTAAAAAATTTAAAATGGTCTCTTCTGGGGCCATATTTTGTCTTGTAATTTGTCACGCATGCATGCGGCACTAACTATACCAGCTGGCCATCAGCCATAGCACTTTTTATACCTTCCACATTTGGGGATCGATAAAAACAATTATTGTCATCTACAAATAAACAATCAAGAGTCCCATAGGGATGATATGAGAATTTAAGACCTTAATTTAGTACAATAGGAAAGCTTAAATTAATGTGGCAGAATAATGAAACTTGCAGTTGAAAATAAAGGCAGGAGTGTAAGAGGAAGCTATCAATCATTTATTTCCACCGGCCAAGTTTTGCATCCCACTGCTCCTCGGTAATCAAGATACTTACCACTTGGAAACTACTTAAATTTACTTGCTCATCTCTTGGAAAAATGATGCTGTCAACACCTTGATGTAGCACCTGCTTGAAGGCATATCATTTAAAATACAATCTTTCATCTAGTTTATTACCAATAAAATATAAGCTACCTTTCCCCTCGATGTTTAGCCCTTGCTGTCTAAAGGCCATGACATGTCCACAGGGATTCGTTCTCTGTCAAGTTGTCCTTATTTACACCAGCCATAACATTTTTGGCTGTTAGCATCCTTCATTTGCCTGCACTCCTGCTTCTGAGCATTCTCTCTCATATTCTTATTTCTGGAAACATATTGCAAAGCATTTTTC